TCGTCACATAATCAGTGACACTCATTTACTTACAGTGCATCTGATTAATCTCACAGAGAAACACACACACTCACACATACTCACTCACACACTCACTCACACGCACACACACACACACACTCAGGTTTGTTTTTGTGAAAAGTGGGGACATCCCATAGGCGTAATGTTTTTTCTACTGTACAGACCGTATATTCTATTGCTCTACACCAACCCTACCCCTAAACCTATCCCTCACAGGAAACTTTGTGCTATTTCAGATTTTCAATACACTCCTGTGTGTGTGATTTATAAGCGTTTTGAAAAGTGGGGACATGGGGTAATGTCCTGAAAAGTCACCTTCTCCTTGTAATACCTATGTCATACCCTTGTCATTATACAAATTTATGTCCTCATTTGTCACAAAAACGCACGCACACACACACACACACACACACGATAGAACTAGGCCCTACTCTGTTTTATCTCAATAGGCCAATTATTTTCTGAAAGTAAAGGGAGAGTTTAAAATTCCTCTAAGCCACTCTGTTGACGCATGTGTTTGGAGACAGGCGGTAATGTTAAATGTTGGTAAGGAAATCAGCGTGACCTGCTAGCCAGTCATCGGGTTAATGAGGCTTGCGCGAGCAGAATATATGGACACGCTCTCAGTCCAGGGGTTCTCCATTCATTTTTTACATGAATATTTAATTCTCGCTACCCTACTGCCAGCGCAACAGCCTGCAGCCCTGAGCAGACAGGGACACACTCCCCATCTGCTGTAGGGCCTGAGACGGGGGTGGCGGTGGAGCACCGCGGAAAATGTTGGGAGCATATCAAAGGTCAATTTATGAACCCCCATGGCGTAATGGTTATTGATGCAGTGTTTAGTCACGTCTTGGCAGAAAAAAACGTCAAAAGTGATGAGCGACTAAATGAAAAGAAAAAGAAGAAGAAGAAAAAAAGGACAGATAGGCCTATTTGACTTGTCTTTGCAACTTACGACTCTAAATTGTGAAAATGCATTATTCCAATAATTAATTAGGCTATTCCAATAAGAATTTGAATGATTGTTTATCCTGAACTTTTTGGGGCGCAAACGCAAGCCAAATTGTGTGCCACAGACACTTCGCCAAATGTCAGTTTATACGGACTTTTTATTAGCGTTGTTTTTGGTAGCTACATCTTTGAGGGCATTGTATATTTTGCCAACGTGCTCCAACAATATGTTGCTATGGTTACTTCATCAGGCTTGCGATTTTTGTTCGTGAGTATCTATTTAAGGGGAAAATATGCTCCAAGACAAACTTGAAAGCCTGTAAATAGAACAAAGGTTCATGTTTATACTTATAGGCCTATGTAACAAATAATACAAAACTCCAGGAGTGGTGGAGAGCCTAAAACGACGGATCCTTTCTTCGGACCTCAATTAAGCGCGGGTGAATGATCCGCATTTGACCGGGGGTGCACGTGCATTGCCTGTTTTTTTTCGTTTGTTCTCTAGTTAATTAAAGACCTGCCGAGATCGAACGCTTCCACTTTTAACACAATCGACAATATCACAGGGAAACAGTGAAAATCGCTCGGCCTATCTCTACACCGCCCTTGAT